TATCATTCACAAGAGGCAACTTGGAGCCTGGAGACATCGGCACTAGATTTATCAACTTTGGTGAATAGTTGGCTGACAATATTCACCAAGTCTCCAAGGATTGATCATATTTGCAGCAAGCTGAGCACATATGATTTATATGCTCTAACTAAAAAGTGCAATGTTATAACTATAGAGATAAGATACAGATCCTTTATAATCAGGAACGTCTAGATTATACATGTATAATTAAGAATATTTTTATTTATTCTCGTACCATACATTTATTATTAAAGGATCAAATATCCTCTATTTAATTTTTTTATTTTGTTTTCTCAATATAAATAAAGCATCTGAGTTGTCTCAAAAATACACGGTTTCAACTCAATGTCTCTCTTTTTTATTGTTTAACATATCCTTATTCAGTTTGCACCTTAATTCAACCTATAGTTAACCCTCTTCATAGCTAAACTCTCGTGAAAACACCACTTGTTAGGACGTAAGCACAAGAGAAGAGCTCAACTCTTCTAATTCAGAACACAAAAAAGAGACCACAAACATGACCCTATACCATGAAATCTATTAAGGGAAAGTAATGCAACCAACATTAAATCAACTAAAACACAGCTCCCTTGTTCCATCCATACACAAAAAACTATATAAAGATACAACACCTCACTTTTTTATAAACATTAATCATTAATGGTGGCAATATAAAAGAAAATTGAGGGGGTCTATCTCAGTTGGTAGAGCAATGAGTGCAAGCTGTTATAGACCACCTTAAATGAAATTCAAAAGAACAATTCCTCTATACGTTACACTAATATAATAACAAGAGTATCACGTACCAAGCTCGAGAAATAAAACAGATATGACTGACAAAACATGCTCATTTGGAATTCCATCACTTGAAGAAAGTGCATCCTCAAAAACAGCACATGTTGATTTTATTGCATCTGCTTTGACACGTTCCAGACTACCATCAATAAATGTTGATCTGTACCCATCAACACGCTTAAGTGACTAATATGATGCTTTAGCACATCCTTCAAAATATTTGAAGCTTGTGATGCAGTGTTTCCCTCAAAATTTAGAAGACCTGAATTCAACATTGGTAGCTTGACTCAGGAAAAAAAATACCATAGAAAAGGGAAAATACAAGGGGTTAACAGCCAGTATCAATTAAATTAATTACGTATTTAGGCAACACCAATTCCCCAAACCATTAATTCAATAAAACCAAATGAATGAAATAACAAATAACGTTCAAATGCTGCATGGAAGATATCAAAAAGAGAAGTTAAGGTGTTAAAGAAAATACAGCTTTCAAAACAACACTCCACAGTGACATAATTATCTATCATTTTATCCATCACAGTAAATTAAAAGTTTTTAGGGATTGAATAATTTTTAAATTTGAAGAAAAACAATTTGCGATTAAAAATTTTCGTTAGGAGAAAAAAAATTCATTGCGTGAAAAAACAGCAAAAAAAAGTTGTTTGTGGCTGCCATGTGAAAATGTTCTTTTACATGGGAATATTATTAATGATTTTGATTTCTAATTCACAAATTATAATCATGTAATGATATGATCCCCCGAAACTTAATTACAGCCATACTTTTCAATAAAAAAAAACAGAAGCTATTGCTCAGCAGATAACCAGATGAAATAAAATAATCAGAGATATAACAAATATTCTACTATTGATGAACATGGATGAACCATACTTACCAATCACAGATCTGCAAACTGGAGGGAGATTCTTGATCCACAAGCTTGATTTTCCATTATAAAGTAAGTCCATTGCAACTCCTAATAGTTTTGATGCCAAAATCACAGTATCCAAAGAGTTCTTATCCCTCAAATATACAAATGAAGTAAGAGAAAACCACGATTTCCTCTTTCTCTAGCACTATATTTTTTATTCTAAAAGCTTCAAAAATAGCTTCCATAGTTTTAAGTGCATGCCTTGCAAGTCCGAAAGACATAAAACTAAATAAATTTATGCACTTCTGAAAAAGAACTTTCAGAAATCATTTTCGTTTTTTTTAGATAGATATATGGAGCAATGAGATTAATATTAAATTCCATAAGATTGTAGGACCTCCAGATTGATTTCAAACTTATCTTCTTTACAATCCATCAAAAGTCCTCGAAGCACTCTTAAACTCAGTGCCAAAGAACTACAACTTTTTCAGCTCTGCACAAAAACCAACTTGCTAGCTTCGTTGGTAAACCGTGGAGGGCTTTGATAGACTTGAAAACCTTCTCCATAGCTTCTTGAGCACATCTGCGTACCTAAAACAAGCAAACAAACCACACACAATTAAACCGAGAAAAAATTCCATAACTCAGAGTGGTGAAATGATTAATAGCCATCACCATGTGCCCGAAATCAAAGGCCATAACCAATGCTGATTGCACTGCAAAGTAAAAGCATCACCAAATCTATTCATGATTGGATATATATATATATAGACACACACACACGCACACAGAGACAGAGAGAGTTTAAAACTAGAGGTGTGTTGCAGTCACAGTTGCAGCACTGAAATTGCAGAATATTGCAAGCATGTACTGTCAACTGATTCCTTTTGAAAGTGATTGAAGGGGCCTCCAAGACAACCACATTGGCGCCACGTTGGATATAAACGAAAGAAAACAAAACATAGACAGTGGCAGGGACAGATGTCAGCAACATTGAATTTGAAGGCCATAACCAAACGCAGGATGCTGATTACTTGCAAGGTAGAAAACTATCATCGAATGAATCTACTGAAACTTAAAACATTGAATATAGATTATACTTTAAAAAAAAAATATTGTAATCACAAAATTGGGAATGATACGATTGCATGGACCAATGTCTGCAAAGTTGGAAGGTCATAAATTAGTAAATGCACCACTGCAAGCTCAAAATGCTATCATCAAAATCCACCCATAATTTGTGTGTGTGTGTGTGTGTGTATATATAAATTAAGCATGAAAACAAATAGCTCAATCAACTCTAACCTTGGGGCGCTTGCAAATGGAGAACTTGAGCAATGCTTCAAAGCCGAATTTGATTCCGTCCCAATCCTCTAAATCACAAAAGCCAATCAAAACCCCCAAGCACTTCACCATGGCCCTCATGCACGCAGCGCCCAACTCCTCACCCTCCCTGGCCAGAACTGCAACGAGGATCTCCGAAGCTTTGTGCGACTTCGACGCCGCGATGCCGCCGGGCGGCACGAGGGGGAGGGCGATGGCCATGAATGACACCAGGGCGGAGAGGGCAACGGGGTCCAGCGCCTCCGCGGCGTCGAGGGTGGAGATGGCGGCGGCGAAGTATGCGGGCGGCGTAAGTGGGAGAGACTCGGTAGCGATATTGGAGCGCAGGGCAGCGGCAGTGGCGAGGAGGTGGCGATGCTGAGGTGCAGCAGAGTTGGCGTAGCGGTCCATGAGCTGCTGGCAGAGGTCCGAACCATCCTTGAATGACTCCGTGTGATCTTCTTCCATTGAATTTGAAGGCTCGGACTTCGGCTCAGACCTTGGTTCGGAGAATTTTGTTCCGCCGTGGGTGGAGAAGGAAACAACAAGGGCGCAGAAGTGAAGGGTTTAAATGTTTTAAAGGTTTGAAGGGTTTATGTTTTCCAAACACAAAAAGAAAAACCAAATTAATAACGTTTAAACCTGTTTTTATTGCTTTATGAAATAACCATGTTTTTTTTTTTCATAAAAAAATATTTTTCATTCCTATAAAATTCAAAATTTTATTTTTAGTTTTTATAAGATGAACCTTTTGCCTTTTATTTTCATCTTCATACTTCAAATCTTGGAATCACGCGTTTGAACTTTTAATACTCATTTTAAAATAGATATTTTGAAAGTGTCATAATGTTGACACTAGTAATGTTTTGCCCTATTTTAGAAGTGTATCGCCATTTGAGATATATATATTATAAAAGTAATCATTTTTATTGTTAAAGTATAAAAGATTACGAGAAAAATTACATTAACAAAATCAAAAATCACTTTTTTCATTTAATAAAAATCACTTATTCCATTTAATAAAATGGTTTGTAACCCGTGGGCCAACCGGTTCACCACGGGTTCAAACCGGATTGAGTTTGAAAAAAATGTTCTTTTTTTATGCAGACTAATTGTTAACCTGGCTCACTGCTCACTTAGAACCGGGTTCATATGGGTTGAACCCGTAGTGAGTTCATCAACCCACCTAATTTAATTTAATTATTTATTATTTTGTTTTTCATTATTATTAGTTAGCATTTTTTTTATTATATTGTACATAGGGATAAAGAAAAAGATGTTTCAAGAGGGAAAAATATTATAGATTTATGTATTCAAAACTCTAATATTATAAATGGATACAAATATTATCAATGTTAAAATCGCCTTTTGTATTTGTTTTTGGATTACGCTTGAATTGTATGATACTTTTTTTTAATTGTCTTTGAAGTTTAACATCATTTTAGAATGAAATTTATTTAGATTTGAATTAAAAAAATTATATTTTTTTTTATTTTTAAAAAACTTTATAATTAAGTGAGTCAGTGAGTCAACCTGTTTAACTATAATTGTCAAAATGGGTAACCCGGCCCGGCTCACTACGGGTTGGTCACTTAGTGACCCAACCCAACTCGCTCATTTATTAACGAGCTAAAAAAATTCGAACTCGGCCCGACCCACCACGGGTTGGTGGGTTAAATGGGTTGGCTCACTGACTCATTTAATTATAAGTTTTTTTTACAATAAAAAATTACAACTTTTTTAATTCAAATATAAATAAACGTCACACTAAAATGATCTTAAACTCCAAAGACAATTCAAAATAAATAAAAAAAGTATCATACAATCCAAGTGTAATCCAAAAACACATACAAGGCGAACAAATAAGCTTTTAATATTGATAATTTTTGTATCAGTTGTCCATTTATAATATTAGAGTCATAAATCTATAATATTTTTCTCTCTTGAAACATCTTCTTCTTTATCACCATCTACAATATAATAAAAAATGCTAACTAATAATATTGAAACACAAAATAATAAATAATTGGGTTGGTGAGCGAATTCGGTGAGCCGGGTTCTAAGTGAGCCGAGTCGAAAACTAGCTCACATAAAAAAATTACATTTTTTTTCAAACTCAACTCGGCTCAAACCCGCGGTGAGCCGAGTTGGCTCGCGGGTTACAACCCATTTTGACAGCACTAGGTTTAACCCACCAACCCGTGGTGGGTTGAGTCGGGTTCAAATTTTTTCGGCTCACTAATAAATAAGTCAGGTTGGGTTGACTCACTAAGTGACCAACTCGTGGTGGGCCAGACCGGGTCGAGCCGAGTTACCCGTTTTGACAGCTCTTAGTTCACTATAAAATAAGTTATATTTTTTTTCAATTTATATTCTTTGAAATAATTTGATTAGATTTTTATTTTTTAAATTTGGTTGAGTTTAATTCTTCCTTGGAAGTAATATAATTAGATGTGGAAAAATTAGACTTAATTCTTCTTTTAGTTTTAACATAGATATTAACTTTTCTTAAGTTTTCAATAAAATAATAACAATACTTTCTATCATATTTTTAGTCAAATGATAAAAAAAATTTATGCTTTTAATAAAATAGCAATTACATACTTCTAATCTTTTAAAAAGACACACGTATGCTTTTATGTTTTTCATAAAATAATACTCATATCTTTCATATGTTTAATAGAGTGTCACTTTCTTTCTATTGTTTTATTTAAAATAAAAATATTAAATAAAATTTGATTAAAAATTAAAGTTTTAAAGTATAAAAATTAAAAATGGTTAATAAATAAAAATGGAATAATTTGACTATGAAAAAATCCCATCCCTTCTAAGAGTTTTATCAATAATTTATATATTTTTATTTTAAAATAAACATTTGGATACTCTATATAATTAATAAAATAATACTGATATTCTTTATTTTATTTATATTTATAGTTATATATATAACTATAAATATAAATAAAATCATATATAAATATAAATAAATTTAATTATTTGTTTGATACGTGCAAAAATATAATCATTTATATTATAAGACGGTTTATCATTAACTGAAATGTAACTTTTCGTATAGTTAATATAAAATATAAAAAAAAGTAGGTTTAATCCTTTTTGACGTCCCTATTTGTGTAGGAATGTCTCAGATAGGTCCTCGTTTTCTAAAGTGTATCAAAATGGTCCTTAATTTTGAAAATTGATATCAATTGAGTCCTTTCCGTTAAGTTGGCTGGACGGCGTTAAAAAAATTGATGAGTGGGATGTTGAGATGACGAACGAACGCTCGTCCACCACCGAACGAACGCTCGTCCACCAGCGAACGAACGGTCGTCCAGTGTGGAACGAACGGTCGTCCAGCAGTAAGAGGTGGACGAGCGTTCGTTCGCTGGTGGACGAGCGTTCGTTCGCTGGTGGACGAGCGTTCGTTCGTCATCTCAGCATCTCACTCATCAATTTTTTTAACGCCGTCCAGCCAACTTAACGGAAAGGACTCAATTGATATCAATTTTCAAAATTAAGGACCATTTTGATACACTTTAGAAAACGAGGACCTATCTGAGACATTCCTACACAAATAGGGACGTCAAAAAGGATTAAACC